ACATGATCCCAGTACTGTGCACAGGTACTTCCAATTACCGCAGCATATCTAAAGAAATGGATGTTTATTTATATGACCAAAATATACCGCAAAGTAAATCAGCTTTAGAACTGCAAGCTGATTTCTGTATATAGTCGTACACGGCAATAAGTTATATTTCCATGTAAACATTTTAGCTAGGGAATGTGCCAATGCCCAGAAGTAGCTAAACAACAATATTACAAATTAGACATTTGCCTTCCTTATAGTAAAAAAAAGGTTTTGCATTTGCCTAGGACTACACTGAATATACCAGGAAAAAAGCAACACAGCTCCTGTAAGGAAAGTCAGTTTGCATGTTTCAAAGCTGACATATTCTTGCAAAAGTTGGTTTAAAAAAATTAAAAAATAAAAATGACAGGCTGGGGTTCCTCACACCTAAATCTAGGCAACAGAGGCATTTAGATTTATTGTTGCTCTACAGTCTTTATGCAATCAAGAGAAACAAGTGGGCTGTTTCACCCTTGAAGCTTCCTGTTGACTTCATGAGGCTGAAGATCACTGTTTTCTTAAGTAATGTGATTCAGTCCTTTTCCTTCTAAGGGAAGTAAATTACAGCAAAGGAAGAAAACTTAGGGTCTAATTTTCTCAATGCCGAATTAGTGAAATTTACTTGTGGATAGCATGAGGATCATGTAGCAAAATTCACATATAACTTAAACCTTAAGCAAGCAAGAGATTGCTCTGACATTGTGAACAGGTCTAGTTTCTAATATTATGAGTGAAGTCTCCTTATAGTCATTACAAATTCCTCATGGCCTATAGTTTTTAAATAGAGTTTCGTAGTAAGACTAAAACTGGGAAAAAAGTGAGTTACTATTAGTCAAAAGTTAATATTATGATTTTGTAGCTATGGTTACTGGAATAGTGTATTTGTTAAGAATTTATAGAAAGGATCCCAATGTTTTCAGCTGCCACACCAGAAAGGCAAGTGCTGCAACATGGACTATAGCTCAGAATCCCTCCAGCCTCAATTACAGGAACAGAAGCATTTTATCCCAAAGAGACTGCTGCTTTCAGTTTTGAAGTGGAATTCATAAAAATTATGTGCAATTATAGAAAACACTTAGGAAGAAAAGATGATAGGTATATCCTAAAAAAAAGACTAAATATTCCATATTCTCCAGTTTTATAATACATAGATATTCTTACTCTTTAAAGTGATGAGATTACAAATCTAAGCCATTTAATTTTGACATGTACATGTTAAATTTAGGACTACTCAAACCAGTTAGAAAATAATCCAAGTTGTTTCTTCCAAAATAACTGATCACGAGAAACACAGATATGAAAACTTATTTAGACTAAATTAGAATGTTAAAAATTCTGTAATATTGACCCATGTAATTTATTGACAGTACTTCTCATAGGACTAATATTTTCCTTGAAGACTCAGGTAAATATAGTACACATATGCTGAAGTAAGTGAAAAAATACAAAAGGAAGGAGTCAATCTGATAAAGTAATTTCTATGTTGGCACTGATTGCAGCTTGGTTTTCAATCGTCTTTGGGCTTTTTTTTATTTTTTCCCCCAAGTATAC